GGTTGAAGAGAAAAGTGTCTCCCTGTATAATAACCTTTGCCCCTCCCTCCCTCTCTACCCCTCCCCTCCCTCCTCTCTCCCGCCCCTCCTTCCCTCAGCCCTGCTTTGAGAAAAGAAAACACTGAAGTTTTTTCCTTTTCTGGAGGAAACACTTGCCCAAGGGCCAGACAGGCCTGGCTTTAAATTCCAGCTCAGCCACTTGACCGGAACATCCCAGGCAAGTCACCACCTGTGTCTGTTTCTGAACCTAAGATGTGCCTTCTCCTCCCTTCCCCCTCCCTCCCAGGGCCAGAGGGTCATGGAAATGCCAGAATGAACCAGTCCCTGGAGAGGACGGAGCTCAGCACCCAGTCAATGTCAGACCTTCGCCCTCAGGCCAACAGGGAAGTCACAGAAGCCCCCGGACCCAGCTCACGGTGTGGCCCAGGCTGTGTGTGGAGTGGGGGTGGGGACAGGTACAGGGAGACCAGGAGGCAGGAGGGAAAGAAGCTACAGTCAGGCCCTCTGGCAGGCTCTTGGGGTCACTGACCCCCTGCAGGGGAGCTAGTGGCTGCCAGGGACAAGGAGAAAGGCCAGGGAGCGCGCCTTCCGAGCACGGATGGAGCTTTCGCTCCGAGGTGCCTTCTCCTCCCCTTCCCTCTCCCTTGGGACCAGAGGGTGGGCGAGGTGCCAGCCCAGGATGGGGCTGAGGCCTTCCCAGGCCAGGGGGGGCCCTGGGTAAGGCAGGGTGGGAAGGGGTCCCAGCCAGGCTGGGGAGAAGAGGGGTGCACAGCTGCTTGCTCCTGGCTCTACTGGGTGCCTCCCCCAGGCAGGCGATGAGTGTGTGAGGTTTGCACACACCCGTGCTGGTCCCTTAGGAAGGGGCACGGCTGGCAGACGGACATGGAATGGGAGAGGCTCGCTCCTCTCACGCCCTGCCCTCTCCCTCCATCGAGGCTGGGCAGGTCAGGAGCCCCAGGTCCTTTCCTGGCTCTGCCATTGACCCCAGGAGTGACCTTGGGCCAGACCCCTAACCCTGACTCTGGGGCTCATTTACTCCTGTGTCCAAAGGAGAGAAAAGGCCTTGCTCACCACTGTTGGGGACTAAAGGGCACGAGAAGCCGGGATGAAAGGGGTCGCGACCTCCGAGAACCGCATTCCGCTCTCCACCACGGTCCTTAGTCCTCCCTGACCCAGTGCCCATCCCGCCTCCGCCATCCGTGATCCCTCCGTTCCTGCTGAAGCGGCGGCCTCAGCGCTTACCTAATCCTCTCCGGGACGCGCAGCTCAGCCTCTCGGAGAGCCTAGGGGTGGTGGCCACAGGCAGGACCGGGCG